CCCTGAGCTTCTTTTCTCAAGGCTAACACTCTACCACTTTGAACCACAGCTCCACTTCCAGTTTTCTGGTGGTTAATTAGAGATAAGAGTCTCATGGATTTTCTTACCTGGGCTGGCTTCAAACCACGATCACCTGGTCTCAACTTCCTAAGTAGCTAGTATTACAGGTATGACCACTAGTGCCTGGTGAAAGTAGTTTTAAAAGTGTAGATTTTGAAGATTCTTATCTGACAAATTGAGGGCAGGCTGCTGTGAAGTGTATATGGTAGTCTGTTCTTATGTTATCTGCAACATTTTACTGAAATTCAAAAGTTTATATTGTGTAACAGTGTTCTAAAATTCATTCATCCTGAATGAAGCATTGAAGAAACCATATTTATTTAACATGTTCTATTTTTTAGTATTATATTGGTTATATGAAACTGACAAGTAATTGGGCCACAGTTCCACTTTTGGCTTTTTGCTGGTTAATGGGAGCTAAGAGCTTCTTGGACTTTCCTACCCCTCTGGCTTCAATCTTCAATCCTCAGATCCTAGCCTCCTGAGTAGCTAGGATTATAGGCATAAGCTACCAGTGCCTGGCTGCTACTCTCCTTTTATTACCTTCGTCTTCACAATTTCCCAACCACTGCTTGGATTTTTCATCTGAACTTTGGAATCAGTTTATAGAAAACCACCTTCATCATAAACCCTGTGGGGAACATGGTTAACATCTAAATTAATGTACAGCTGCCATCTTTGAAATCTCTGTATGTCCAGCCATGCTTAGGGTCTTTTTGGAAGCCTTGTAAATCATTTTTCTACAGATCTGGCATATGTGTGGTAAGTTTATTGCCAGGTATTTTATTCCACATGTAGCTAACATCTTGAGGGTTCCTCATGTACTTTAAAGTGGTCTAGACCTTACAGCCCTGAGCTAGTGTACACAATTCCTTATGCAATTGCTTTGCCCAGCACCTGCAGGATCAGGCTGGCAACCATAGGTTGGCGACACTGGAAGCACTGCCCCTGGAGTAGGAGGTGAGCATATGGATTGTCACAGATTCTATCATCTTAAGAAAAGATCCACTTGAGTTGGAGGTGTGGCGTAGGTAGGAGAGCACCAGCCAACAAGTGAAATCAAGCATCAAAAAGTGAGTTCAAGGGCTGGGAAGTTGGCTCAGTGGTAGAGCGCTTGCCTTGCATGCCTGAGGCCCTGGGTTCCATTCCTCAGCACCACATAAGCAAAAAGAAAAAAGCCGGAAGTGGTGCTATGGCTCAAGTGGTAGAGCGCTAGCCTTGAAGAGCTGAGGGACAGTGCCCAGACCGAGTTCAGGCCCCACAACCGGACCAAAAAAAAAAAAAAAAAGTGAGTTCAAGCTGGGTGCTGCTGGCTCATGCCTATAATCCTATTCAGGAAGCTGAGGTCTGAGGACATGGTTCAAAGCCCGGGCAGGAAAGGCCATGAGACTCCTATCTCCAATAAACCACTCAGAAAACCAGAAGTGGTGCTATAGCTCAAGTGGTTGAGTGCTTGCCTGAGCTGAAGAGCTAAGGGACAGCTCCCAGGCCCAGAGTTCAAGCCCCACAACTGACAAAAAAAAAAAAAAGTGAGTTCAAGTCTTTGTCTCAGACAATTGAAAAGATTCACTGAATAAACCTTGTTTGGACCCTGAATGGAGG